CCCGGCTTCCTGATAGAGGAAGTACTCGTGCTAGGTATCGGAGCATTTGGGCGAGTACGAGTACTCACCCAAATACTCGGTATCGGCACCGATACCGATACTAGTATGGGTATCTGTGCATCCCTATTCGTTATGATGAAGTTAAAAAGCAAAAATACCTTTGTTAATATATTGGAGTCGATGGTAGTTCTTTTTTTATCTGAAATACGAAATTCTACCATCGACTCCAATATATTAACAAAGGTATTTTTGCTTTTTAACTTCATCATAACGAATGTCCGTAACGGAACGAAAATACGTTAACGGAATTTCGTATTTCCTGCCTGTGTATTGTAATGCAACTCTCAGCAGCAGAAGAGAAAACCTCCGATTGGTCAACCAAACGAAATACGAAATTCCGTTAACGGATTTCGGATCCGAATTTCGTATTTCGGATAAAAAAAAAAAATCTTGTCATGTTGTTCAACCTCATTTACAGGGGTAATATTAGTTCCCGTTTGAAAGAAATTCGGATCCGAAATTCGTTAACGAAATTTCGTATTTCGGATATAATTCGGAAACTGCCATTCGGATTTCGGATGCTTCCGAATTTATGGAAAATTCGTACGAATTTCGATTCGTAACGAAACGAATCGCACATGTCTAATCAGAATGCCGCGTGATTCACTTACTGTGGAGTTTCGGTGATAGGCGTCGCTCACGGTGGTGGCCGGTTCCTGCTTCAAGGTCATGGAGCCATCAATATCATCCTGGTCGCTCTCGCTCCAGTAATCTGCTAAAGACAAAGGAAATCTAAACTCCACTGGAATACGGGGAGCGTACAAATGACAGAAAATATCTTTCTTTTAAAAAAATCAAAAAGATAAATTGTATTTAAAAATGTACGCGGTCCAGTTTTGGTCGCCGGTACTGAGAAGGGATGTCCTTGAACTGGAGAGAGTCCAGCGGAGGGCAACAAAACTAATTAGGGGAACGGAGGACCAGAGCTATGGAGACAAGGGGGAGGGGCTGGAGGACCAGAGCTATGAGACGAGGCTTCTGACCTTAAACATGTTCACGCTGGAATTAAGGAGGAATATGATTTTCATGTACAAGATGTTCAATGGTGACGGCAACATTGGCAACAAACTGTTTGAGATTAACTCCATTACAAAGACTAGAGGCCGCCACCTAAAGTTGGTGGAGAAAAAATTCCAGCACAAGGGGCGAAGAGGGTTCTTTACAGTAAGAGCGGTTAAGGTCTGGAACTCACTGCCATCGGCCGTCATCTCAGCCAAGAGTGTAGATTTGTTCAAGAAACGTTTGGACAATTTCTTGAGGGACCGTAATATCCGGGGGTACCAGTATCCCTAAGAATGAGATGATGCGCGGACCTATACAGGTTGGACTTGATGGACGTATGTCTTTATTCAACCCCAAATACTATGTAACTATGACTTTTTGTTACTTTTTTTCCGACATTGTTTTCACTTCGGCTAAGACTCGGCACAACTGAGAAACCAAACCGGAGCAGCTTTATAAAAAGGCAAAACTGGGAATAAATCTGTGCCAGCGGTGACACATATTGACACATCGGGACGATATTGATACATCGGGACGATATTGATACATCGGGACGATATTGATACATCGGGACGATATTGATACATCGGGACGATATTGATACATCGGGACGTTGAGGAAATCAGAACAAGTAACTCGGTTTTACCTTCATTGGGCCTGATGTCTTTTTCATCCGGAGTGTATCCAATAGCAGCGAGACCCAGACGGTTCATCCACCTGAAAAAGAAGAATAATTAAAGGTCCACAACATTCCGCTTATCTTTTCAGGCTCACATCATATAACAACTACATGCACGTATATTCAATGATCAATCGCAATATCGGTTTATAACGCCAAATGATTTGTCCACATTTCTTCATTGGATTGTTCCGGATGGTGGAACTCATCAGTATTTTTTAGAACCAGGATTACAGATTGTGGTGATATCATTGTATCTGCCGTCGGGGTCTGATTTCCAGCCATCGTCCTGGTTTTGATTTGTCATACGGATTGCTGCTTGTGAGACTCATCCATGGACTGTGTGTTCTGAATAGGGATGCACCGGTATTGGTGCCGATACCGAGTATTTGGGCAAGTATTCGTACTCGCCAAAATGCTCCGATACCTTCCCCAATACCGTAACTTATGGTCAGAGGAAGATCTCCTCTGATCGGCAGTGCCGTAGGGAAACATGGGGCCAGCTTCCCGTGCGACCAGGAAGCCGGGCGGCGAGTAATGACCCGGCTTCCTGATTGGCCGGGAAGCTGGCTCCTTGCTGATTGGCAGGGAAGCCGGCTTCCCGACCAATCAGCATCGAGCTGGCTGAATACCTGGGTCGATGGCTAGGAAGCTGGCTTTTCAGTCAATCAGTATCAAGTCGGCCGAACAACCTGCTCCATGCTGATTGGCAAGGAAGCTGGCTTTGCAGCCAATCAGGAAGCTGGGAGCTCAGGTCATTAGTCGCCACCTGGCTTCCTGATTGGCCAGGAAGCCAGGTCGATGCTGATTGACTGGGAAGGCGGTTTTCCGGCCAATCACAATCAAGCCGGCCAAACAACATGGAGACCCGGCTTCCTGGACAGGAAGTCCGGCGGCATGTCATTACCCATCTCCCGGATTCCCGATTGCCCGGGAAGCCAGGCTCCATGCCAGCGGAAGCACTGGTATCGGTACTCGGTATCGGCGAGTACGGAAAGCAAAATAAACCAGTATCGGTGCATCCCTGGTTCTGAAGGAATCACAGTTGATAGTGGTGCCCTGCAAAGGTCAACGGCAGAAGAATCCAGTTTAATGCATTTGGAAATTTGGAGCAGAAAAATCCGCCATGGAAATGGGAGTTTTGAGATGCAGGCGGGCCACAGCTGACCTGACTTCACCCTTCCGAAAATGGGGAAAGTTTTTGGACCTTTTACCGCAACTTATGAATTAAAAATCACACACTGAGGAGATCACCGCTAAACCCATCAGGCCATGCCAAGAGCCAGTAAAGATGATTACTCTATAGATGAGGGATAGGCAAACTCCGGCCTTCCTACTGTGGTGCAACTACAAGTCCAATTAGGCATTGCCAGTTTTCAGGCAGGATCAGCAAGTTTTTTTGGACAACAATTGAACACACATAACAAAATACTTCCACGGGTATTAGTAACAGACCAAATATGAGCAGCTGAGTGTTCGAGTTTTGCGTACACAGTCACTGAGTAATACAGTAACTGTAGTTGTGAGGCAGGTCCAGCAGATGGCGCTCCGTCACCAGAATCAGAGGAATGCGACGCATTAAAGGCTCAGTCCACCGTTTGGAAAATCTTCTGATCAATGCGCTATTACTACTTAACCTTCAGAGCATTGCACCTTCGATCGGTGCATCGCGGGGGCAGCGCACAGGCTCGGTCAATGTTCTCCCCATGACTCAGGTCCGTACAGAAGTATAGACCTGAGCTGGAGGAAGTGCGGCTGGACTACATGGGGGCGCAGGAAAAAGGGATCGCTGGCGCGGCTGTACACACTCCCTCTGCCGTGATGCTACATGGGACTGTGGGAGCAATCCCGGTGAATGGAGGACTATGGGTGTGATTCACCAATAGTTCAAGGAAAGAGGCGGCTTCATCCCTACAGAATGAAATCCCACACGCTGCGCTCAGGTGACCTGAGGTGACTGGACCAACTTTCCCCCCCCCCCAAAAAAAAATATCTAGATTCTAAAGAAATGACTTTTTATCACCCGGCGGAGCAGAGACTCCATTCCATATTACACAGCAACCTATTACCGTCAGCTCCTGCTGGCCCTTTAAGAGGTTCTAAACACCAAAGGATGGGCTCCTAATCATGTGATCACTTTGGATGTCACAGCCCCTCCTACCGGCTCCTAAACTTCACTGTGTGACCTGGAACTGTCAGTGGCAGTTAGGTCACAGTGCTAGGGGCATGTGATTGCACATATTAACCTCTTACCGTCAGCTCCTGCTGGCCCTTTAAGAGGTTCTAAACACCAAAGGGCCGGTAGGATGGGCTCCTGATCATGTGATCACTTTGAATGCCACAGCCCCTCCTACCGGCTCCTTAACTTCACTGTGTGACCGGGAACTGTCAGTGAGGTCACAGTGCTGGGGCCATGTGATTGCACATATTAACCTCTTACCGTCAGCTCCTGCTGGCCCTTTAAGAGGTTCTAAACACCAAAAGGCCGGTAGGATGGGCTCCTGATCATGTGATCACTTTGGATGTCACAGCCCCTCCTACCGGCTCCTAAACTTCACTGTGTGACCGGGAACTGTCAGTGGCAGTGAGGTCACAGTGCTGGGAGCATGTGATTAAACATATTAAACTCTGTCAGCTCCTGCTGGCCCTTTTAAGAGGTTCTAAACACCAAAGACCGGTAGTATGGTCTCCTGATCATGTGATCACTTTGGCTCTCACAGCCCCTCCTAGCCGGCTTCCGCTATTCACTGTGTGACCGGGAGACACTGAGGGCACACGATCGAACGCACTCTAAGCACAAAATTGTCTGCTGAGCGCTGTGGTGTGCATTGTTCTATTGATAGACAACTGGCAGAGCCATTGGCCCCCAGGAATCTCTGTGAGCTTTCGTTCTATGTGAATAGAGGCCAAAAAATGTTCTCAGTATATTTTCTTTCTAGGCCGATTGTAATGTAATACTGCGTTATGGCCACTAGATGGCTCTGAGGAGCACAGGAAATACATATTTTCTATGCTCCTCAGCTCCATCTAGTGGCCACCGTGTGGTATTACATTTGACATGAATAGAAAATACACTAAGAACGTTCGTTTTTCACCCCTGGCTTTAGTGCTTGTTAACTCTAGGGGTAGAGGAATAAGGTGCAAGGCTGGGTTCACACCTAGGCGTATCGAATACGCGCGTTTGTCACGCGTTCCGTGCCGCGCGTTTTTACAGCGATTTGCCGCAAGGGCTGCCTGGCTGTATCCCAATGGATACGCGCGGCAAATACGCCCCCAAAGAAGCTCCTGTACTTCTTTGGGCGTAGGGCGTTCCTACGCGCTGTAAAACGCTCAGGTGGGAACTATGCCCATAGGCAATCATTGGTTTTCACGTGCTGAGCGTTTTACAGAGCGTAGGAACGCGCAGGTGTGAACCAGGCCTAATGCTTTCCTTAGTCCTCCCATTGGCCTCCTCCGTTCTGTGTGACCAGTCCCCACCAAGCTTCTTCACTTGGTGGGGACCTCTGGCCAGCATCATGAATTAGAATGCAGGATCAATAATCCATGATACCTGGTGATCCTGCCATGAAGGTCCTTGTCCAAGCACTTCCTGTTTAAAGGAGAACTATGAGGGGGGAGGGGCTTTCCACTCACCTCATAGTTCTAGCCGACCTGTGACAATCAGACTGTCACAGGTCGGCTCAGTAGATCGGGAGGTGAGCTGAACACATACCGGCGATCGCTCCCCTCTCGATCCTGTCACGGCTCTCTGCTGTGACAGGGGGAGGGGCTGGATTCCCCCCTCCGATCCGCCAACGCTGACTGGCGGAACGGACGGGGGGCGGGTACAGCTGGCTCTGCCTCTAGATAGGTCCCGAGTCCATGTCGGCATCCGCTCCGGCTGCGGCGTCTCAGTATACCGCGAGCTGTAGCTCCCTATATACTGAGCTTAGGGTGACGGGAGGACGCTAGTTTGTGTCCTCCCGTTACCCTAAGGAGAACTATGGGGGAAAACACTGACCCGATAGTTCTCCTTTAAGGATGACAACACTTCCTGTCTCCCAGTTGTGCTCCCGCGTTGTCACCATGTAACACAGGCTTGCAGCAAATAGGACAAGGGGACCTTTTCACAAACATTATGCAGGAAGTGACCGTTGTCGTCACCACGAGTGAAGAAGCTGCGAGAGATCATCATCAGCGCCGAGACACAATACAGGATCATGAATCTGGTTTACAGACCAGAGAGCTCTATTTGAGTTCCCTGATAGGCGATGACATCATATAGGGAACGGTATATTTATAATTGTTTTGTTCTTTTTCACATGTTTGTAAATATTT